ATTATTATTATTATTATTATTATTATTATTATTATTATTACAGCAACAATGATATATTTTCAAGAGGTGGATAGCTAAAGTCATGGATGCAGGATCAGTGGATATGGAGGGCCGATGGTACCATACAAAACTACAAATCCCAGGGGAAGTAGCCATGGCAGTTAAAGTGCTATATAACTGTGTCATGCAAAAGAGACCACTTTTCCATCCGCTGGTGTGCCCTCTTTGAGAGTCTGCAAGAGACCTTTCCTCTTCAGGGTTCCCCAAAAAAACCTGCATATGACAACTACGATTGTCATCTCTCCTGGCATCAAGTGCCAACTTCCCCAGCCCAACTTTTTCAAACATTTTCTGGAGACATCAAAAAATGAGATATTGACACACTTGACTGAGATCTCTGCTCTCGCATTTTGACAAGTGATGCCCTTTACTTCCGGCATCTCTGTGATATTTTGCTTTCTGGGATTTAATGTAGCACATTCAGATCTCCCTCTTACCAACCACCATCCTCAAGGAAAAGAGAATTTTTCTACCGGGGACAGTAATGATTTGACGGGTTTCAACTCTATGTGGGTTTTGATGCATATTTAAAATGTGCTTATTTCTGCAAGCATCCTCTGAAGTAGTCCAGCCTGACATCTATTTCTTGGGCTGCACAAAGAGTATGCTATCATGAATATTTTACTTTCTATATTCTGGAGACCAGGGTTCAAATCCTGCTTTGGCCATGAAACCCACTGGGTGATCTTGGCTAAGTCACACTCTCTCAGCCTCAGAGGATGGCAATGACAAACCCTCTCTGAAGAAACTTGCCAAGAAAACCCTATGATAGGTTCACCTTAGGGTCTCCATAAGTCAGAAATGACTTTGAAGGCGCACAACAACGAAACAACCAGTTTCTGTACACCATCTTGAAATGTTTAGATTTATCCAGCATATTTCAAAGGAAATTGGGAAGGAAAGAAAGATTTCTGTCGTGAGCTCCCTCTGAGACCAAGTTGGTTTTCCACTCCAAAGGGTCATGGGTGGCTGCTGTTTTTTCTCTGTTTCTTCACTTTTACTGCGGTAGGATTTTCATGCAATTGCTTTATGGAGGTTTTTTTTATTGCTATGCTAAATTTTTAAGAGTACAAAATAAATCAATAAATCCCGGAGCAGAAATACTTAAAAACACCAGTATGAAGGAACACACCCAGAGAAGACTTTGCACGACCTAGAATGACCATCCTGTTGCAAAACTTTTCAATGCAAAGAGCTTTGCCCTGCCATTTTATTTTTATTTGATTTGATTATGTTTTCAAAGGGACAATCAGATCTTTCCCATAGATGTGAGCCACCTTCACTTTAAGCAGGAAAGGGCCTGGCTATTAAAATCCCTTGCTGTCACCCTGTTATGGCAAGCCAGCCATGATTTTTATTGGCCACCAGCAATAAAGTAAAAGTAGCACGTGTCTGAGTGATGGAGAAGAATATGAGCTCTAACCTACAATCTATATTCGTTTCATAACATTTCAGATTGTCAAGACTTCCCCGATGGATCCCGCAGGTTGCAGTTTGATCGGTACAGAAAGAACCTTTTGCTAAAGAGATCCTTGGGAACCCACTGTATATGCCACAAACCTAAATTGTTGTAAATTGTATTGGCTCGGCCATGAAATCCACTGGTTTACCTTGGGCAAGTCACGCTCTCTCAGCCTCAGGGGAAGGCAAAGGCAAGCCTCCTCGGAACAAATCTTGCCAAGAAAACCTCATCATAAGTTCACCTTAGCGCTGCCGTAAGTTGGAACTGACTTGAAGGCACACAACAACGACAAACTCCAAGAGTGCATTTACATTGCAGAATTAATGTACTTTGTCACCACTTTAACTGCTATTGCTCAGTGCGATGCAATCCCGGGATCTGTAGTTTTGCAAGCTATTATCAGAGACCCCTGGTGCTACAACAAGCTACAAATCCCAGGATCCCACAGCAATGAAGCCAGGATAGTTCCAGTGGTGCCAAACTGGATTGAACCCAATACTGCACCATGCTCACTCTCGACGCGTTCATTATTAGTATGCATTTACGGAGGCTGCGTTTGCTAGTATGTACTGCATTTGGCAAAGTTGCAAAGGCCACTGGCTTGATGCAAATAAAATTGGATAGGATTTGTCATGATGCACACCTGCACTCCCAAATTTGTGGCTCCGCCGCAGGTGATTTATGAGACCTCACTGAATACAAGCCTCCTGAATCCCAAAAGAGGCCAGAAGAGCCATTGGTCACCAGGAGGAGGCAGTAGAGCTCTTCTCAGGGAAACGCTACAGATTGCTATAGTTCATAACAAGCCAAGGGAGCAGGGTCCATTAAAATGCCAAAAAACTTAAGGCGATGGCCATGGCATAGTGGTTTGAGTATTAGACTATGACTCCAGAGACCAGGGGTGGTGGTGGTTTTGGGATCCATCAGCCATTCATTTTGCATTGGAGGTGTGTTCTTAGGAGGAATCAAAAGCAGGTGCTTCTTCTGCAGGGAGATTGTTTTTGCAGACCATGGGGAACAGGAGGAAGAAACAAAGAGCTTGTTTTGGGTAAATTGCAGGCAAGAAATGCTTGGTGCCTTGCTCTACACCCTCACCACACAGTTATCGGACACTGGTTGACACCCAGTTAGCGACATAGCTGAGCATTAAGTCTAACGCAAACCTGCATCGCCCTAAAGGCACCAAATCCCATCTGATCTTAGTTATGCTAAGTAGGATCAGCCCTGATTGGTACGTGGATGGGAGACCACCAAAGGATATCAGATGCTGTAGGTTCTATGTCAGAGGAAAGAACTGGCAAAACTTCCTCGGAGTATTCCTTCCCTAAGAAAACCCTAGGAAATTAAAAGTAATCCTACTCTGGTCTCTACCGGCCATGAAATGGCGATGGAGGCGGTTTGGGGTGACTCTGGGAGGGCATCATTCTGCCTGAAGAACTTTTCTGCACTGTTCAATACATGACTTCAGCCCCTAAATGTTAAGAGGTGTCTTCCCAAACCCCGATTCATCCGAGGATCAAGATTCAAGTTGTTCAGGCTTGGGTTTGAATCCTGTCCACCTAGGGTCAGCATAACTTGAAGTCACCCTGACAGCAACTAACAGCATCTGGAAGCCCAAGAAACTCACTTCTCATTATCTAGAGCAGTGGATCCCAACCTTTGGTCCGCCAGGTGCCATAGGGCCTTTGCAGACTGCCAGAAATAGTCCAAATTGAGTCCACTTTAAGGGTTAGGGTTAGGGTTAGGGTTAGGGTTAGGGAATCATGGGAACTGTATTTTATTGTGGCACCAGACTCTCTGACAGAGAAGGCTCAATGTCTCAGGAAAAAAAATTCCCATGATTCCCTAGCACTAACCCTAACCCTTAAAGTGGACTCAATTTGCATTATTTCTGGCAGTCTGCAAAGGCCCTTAGATTTCCAATTCCCAGAAGCCCCAGCCAGCTTGGCCAACAGGCAGGAATTCTGGGAGATGAAGTCCCAAAACCTAAAGGACCAAAGTTTGGAAAGCACTGCTGAACCACTGCCAAACCAGAAGACTCATGGGAGATCCATCCCCAGGTGTCCTTAGGGTTGATCCCAAAGGGCTGAGGGCGGCTCTGAAGGGGTCTCAGTGGTTTCTCCAGGGCCCAGAAACCTATCATGGGGTTTTCACGGAGTAATTTGTTCCGAAGGGATGTGCCCTTGCCTTCCTTTGAGGCTGAGAGAGTGTGACTCATCCAAGGTCACCCAAGGGGTTTTCACAGCCAAGCAGGGATTCAGTCCTGGTCTCCAACCCCTGAGGGTGGCTCTGTAGTGCAGAGGGGATGAGAGAGAGATAGAGAGATAGCTAGAAGAGGGAGAGAGAGAAGCAGAGGGAGAGAGATAGATAGGGAGAGATAGGGAGGTAGAGAGAAGGGATAGAGAGATAGAGAGGGAGTAGAGAGATATAAGAGGTAGATAGAGAGGTAGAGGTACAGATAGAGAGGTAGATATATAGAGGTGGGGATAGAGATAGATAAGAGAGGTAGAGAGGTAGAGATAGATAGATAGATGATAGATTATTTATCTATCAGATAGATAGATAGATAGATAGAAGTAGATAGAGAAGTAGAGGTAGAGGAGAGAGAGAGAAAGAGAGAGGTGAAACAGAGGAGGTAGAGACATATTAAAAAGACAGATAGATATAGAGAAGTAGAGGTAGAGAAAGACAGAGAAGTAGATACATAGAGAGAGAGAGAAGGAGAAGGAGAGGGTGTAGAGATAGAGGGATAAATTGATGGATAGATATAGAGAAGTAGAGGTAGAGATAGACAGAGAGGTGGATATAAATAGAGTAGAGATAGATATAGATAAGAGAGGTAAGAGAGGGAGAGATAGATAGAAGAGGCAGATAGATAAAGAGAGAGAGAGAGAGAGA